ATCTATGATTTTGATTTGAGAAGAGGTTTCCAGTGAAAACTGACTAATTTAGTCAGCTTTTGGCTAATTTTTTCAAATTTTTGGGAAGCTCAATTTTAAAGATCCCAGTAAATGCCACCATTTAAATGTAGAAATGTTGAATTCTCAAGAAAAAAAATTGCCTAAATTCAAACCACCCCAAGGTTAGTTAAGTACCCACAAAATGCCCAATTGTCTATAGATCATTCTTAAACTGCACAAACGATCTTGAAACACTTCATTCCTTCATAAAAATATCATTTTTCACCAAAAATCATCGAACCATGGCACTATTAGGGATAACTTCACAGATGGCGCTAGTGAAAAGGTAGAAGGCAAAAAATCTAAATTTTAAATCGGGATGATGGTTGATTGAAATCAAGATTTATCAGTGCACTCACTAGTGAAAATGTACAGATTTTATGTTTTATTTTGTTTATCTTGTGTGTATATAATTTTACAAAAAGCCTGCCGAAATGATTCGGTTCACTTCAAATATTTGACTTTTTGTGACGGTGGTCTTGAGTTTGAAATCTATTGAAAATTGTTTAAAATTCGGATAGATGGCGGAAAAAGCGGTCATATCTTTTTTTCTCAATGGGTTATCTATGCAAATTTGTTTTGATTTAAAAGGGCACATATGGAGCTATCCCGTTGTATATGGGGTTATGTACCGAAAATCCTCGTTTTTTCATAATCAATCCAAAGATTTCAATATTTTCCCATTTGATTACATTAGAGCATTTATCTGTGGAATTATCCCCTTGCGAGAATTCTAATGCCTTGGTCACATTTGCTCCGATTTTCACTACACGGCGCCCGGGTGATTGAGTATTGTGTTCAAAATTGAATACGATATTAAACAAAACACTCAATCGGCCGGGCGCCGGCCGATGGATCGGAGCAAATGTGACCCATACATTAGTTATTATACAGTAATCATTGCAGTTCTATTGTGCCATTCTCAAAATTCATTTCGTTCGTTGCGTACCTTCACTACCTCTCTGACGTTGTTAAAATAGTTCTAAAATTCCCGGGGCACGATCTTAGAGAGCTTCAGAAATTAGTACAACAAGTATTCATTTTCAACAGATTGTTAGAATTACTTAATATTTTTCTTATGAATGAATTCTTGCAAAATTAGAAATAAACATTTTATAAAATACAACGAATAAAATCAGTAGCAAACGCAAAGAAATATATTTTTTGAAGCAGGTCAAAATATTTAGAAGGGTAACTGCATGAGGTAAGGCACAGGAGGTACGGACGAAAGGCTCGGAGATTGCTATTGTGCGTCATAAAAAGCACTTTCTGTTCGCTAAGACACTAACCCCCCTATCACACCAAACTCGTTCTTACCCGTTCTTGCCAGTCCTACGAAAACGTCGTAAAACGGGCTCAATCTGGCTGTGGTCGGGAAATATGTCTGAAATAATTAGCTTCTTCGTTCTTAAACAGTCTTCAATACGTCCTTCTCGTTCGCAGTTCGTTCAGGTCGCACCACGTCGGTGTGCAACGTAGTAGAACGCGTCCCCTAGTCTAGAAGGTCAACATGACCTGATTACAGAACGTTATGGTCGCCATCGAATTTTGAATCGATTCAAAATTCTAAAATCACATTCCCGTCTGAGAACGATCATAAAGTTCGTAAATAGACCTTAGAAAGTTGCAGCTACGTTCATTCCGTTCGCACACAGTTTTGAAGAACGCAGTGGCAACTTGTTTGGTGTGATAGCTATATTTTTGCTAACTCGTTCATAAGCATTGTTAAATACGTTCTCAATCAGTTTAAACCCGTTTGCAATTAGTTCTATCTCGTTCTCAACACGTCCTCAGACAATTCAACTCGTTGTTAAAACGTCCCTAGTAGGATTGAAGTACGGCGGTTCCGTTCGTAGTACGTCCAGCTCGTCGTTAATACGTTGTCACTCGTTCTAATTGTAGAACGTGACGACCACGAGAACATTTTGAGCATTGTCTAAGTTCTAGAGGACCTACCCGTTCGAGTACGTTCGATGAAGTTTGTTAATAGATCCCAAACGGTTCTTAGTAGGTCCAGTCCGTTCGTACACAGTTGAAGCCCGTTTTTGAGAACGTAGTGAGAACTAGTTTGGTGTGATAGTAGGGTAACAAAGCTTGTATTGACAAATGCAACTTTCGGCTGTCGGCTATCGGATTAACCTATTAAATTTCAAATATCAAACCGTCTTTTTGAAGTTTAATTAACGAACAATCCGTTGGTCGGCAAACGGTGATTAGTAGTCTCATGATTTTTATGCCACTGTAACGATCGACTGTAAGATCAGCAACTCAATGGAGTAGCAAATCCCATCGAACAAAATATATTTTGATAATGAGTGGCCAACTTGAAATTTCTTCTTGAACAGAGCTCCTTTATCCCAAGGTATCACAATATAATATTTGAACCAATTTCATCAACTGGTATTTGAGTTAAAACAGATTGTGTTTTCCCAAAATGGTGGCCATTTTAAAATTCAGCGACCTTCATGAAAATTTTTTCATGAGCAAGGCTCCTTTATCCCCAGAGCAGTATATAAAATTTAAACCAAATCCGTCAATTGGTTTTTGAGTTATCAAGGATTATATTTTAACGACAAATGGCGGTCATTTTGATGAATAGCGGCCATTTCGAAAATTTCTTTTTGAGCAAACCTCCTATATCTCTCAGCCTCAGCATATAAATGGTTCAGGTAGGTTATCACAAACAATTTCGAAGGTTGCTATTTTCTGACTTTGACGACAGGTAAATCGTTTACCCCCCCCCCCCCCCCCCCCCTATCACACCAAACTAGTTCTTACCCGTTCTTGCCAGTCCTACGAAAACATCGTAAAACGGGCTCAATCTGGCTGTGGTCGGGAAATATGTCTAAAATAATTTGCTACTTCGTTCATAAACAGTCTTCAATACGTCCTTCTCATTCGCAGTTCGTTCAGGTCGCACCAGGTCGGTGTACAACGTCGTATAACGCGTCCCTTAGTCTAGAAGGTCATCATGACCTGATTACAGAACGGTATGGTCGCCATCGAATTTTGAATCGATTCAAAATTCTAAACCTTCTAGACCTTCCCGTCTGAGAACGTCCATGAAGTTCGTAAATAGACCTTCGAAAGTTGCAGCTACGTTCATTCCGTTCGCACACAGTTTAAAACCAGTTTTGAAGAACGCAGCGGCAACTTGTTTGGTGTGATAGCTATATTTTTGCTAACTCGTTCATAAGCAGTCTTAAATGCGTTCTTTAATCAGTTTAAACCCGTTTGTAATTCCTTCTACCTCGTTCTAAATACGTCCTCAGACAGTTCAACTCGTTGTTAAAACGTCCCTAGTAGGATTGAAGTACGGCGGTTCCGTTCGTAGTACGTCCAGCTCGTCGTTAGTACGTTGTCACTCGTTCTTATTGTAGAACGTATCGACCACGAGAACATTTTGAGCATGTTCTAAGTTCTAGAGGACCTACCCGTTCGAGTACGTTCGATGAAGTTTGTAAATAGACCCCAAACGGTTCTAAGTTCGTCCAGTCAGTTCGTACACAGTTGAAGCCCGTTTTCGAGAACGCAGTGAGAACTAGTTTGGTGTGATAGTAGGGTCAGATCCATTAATTATCTTAAGAAAAAGTATATATTTAGTGTAACGTCTTACAGCGTATTTGACGATGTCGGGATATATTTATACCTTAATAATATGTTGGATCTCATCAAAATTTTGAAGGAAAAATAATTTCACTGTAATGCGAGTGAAAAATACTTCAAAATGATATATACAAGGGGCGATCCGTATATTCTGATAAAAATGCTCTCATTTTGTGATTTTTTTCACATATTCTTTTCATTTTTTCAGAACATGTAGATTACGTAATTACACATACGATGCTAAAATATTTTAGCTGTATCTTAAATTAATTTTGAAATAAGGTTGCCATGGTAACCTGTATTTAGGGTAGGCAGGTCTGTTAAATTATAACGTCTAAAATAGATAAATATGTTAATTTAATCATTCCTCGGTACCTATTTTAAGCAGGTCAAACGCATCTTTCAGTCATTGTCAACTATTAATTGATCTGTTCCATACCCCTGCTGCCCTTGTTTGATAATTTATACAATGGGATAGCTATCTTTTCATAAGTAACATCTCAATTTATCGTAGTGTTATTCTCTGTCCGCAAGCTCTTCTTGCAACCAGATTGTGGATGATCTTCAACGTACAGCGACCATGCCTTCATCTTCACAATACTACCTATAGATTCTTTATGCAGATATTACACCTTGCCCATGCACTTTATGAGTTCATGTATGTCTCTGACAGTGTCATCTTACTTATTCTTGAAAGAAAATCAAATCTAATGGTATTCCCTAATGTATCCGTTAATGTGACACTCTGCATCAGCCACATTAACCTAATCTGACAATTTGATTTTTGGTGTGTCTCATAACATGTCAATTGGCCCATTCTGTCCTACAATGCTATTGTGATTTGTTGTGATGTTATAGTGAGCACATATAAACATTTGTTTAGCAACAAACAACGAGTAACAATACCAAACTTTTTAGAAAAAATGCATGATTTCCGCATGCTTTAAAATAATTAAAATAACAAGTTATTTTGATATTTATATGTTATAATTAAATTGACCTGCCTACCCTTAATACAGGTTACCTTGGCAGCCTTATCTCATTGATAATTTAAGATATAGCTATAATATTTTGGCATTGTATGTGTAATTACATAATCTACATTTTCTGAAAAAATGAGAGGGATATGTGAAAAAAATCACAAAATGAGAGCATTTTTATCAGAATATATGGATCGCCCCCTCGTAAAACACATAGTAATATAAGCTTTTCAAATAAGGATGTATAAGAATTTCATAATTGTGAACTATATCCTCTCTATCTTGTATTTTCAGTTAGGGATGGGTGATCGTATACAGTACAGCGAAATTAACAAATATCACACAAGAGTACACGCTGCAGCTTCAGATTGTGCCTTTTAGTCTGGAAGAAATATGGGGTATTTTGAGGATCAATCGTTTTCTTCGGATTACAATGTTTTTTAACTTTTCAGCATGAATATAGGATTGGGACCTCAAAACCACGGAATGCCGGAGCGGCACTCTTGGGCAACTCTCTACAGAGCATTTCTTATACCCCCCTAATAAAATCTACAGGGGGTACTATAAGACACCTTTATATCTCAGACACTAATAAAGATAAAGACTTGAAATTTTCAGGAAGTATTTCTAGTATGATGCCTAATCTGTATGGTGAAAATCAAGAAAAAATATTAATCCGGTGCTATAGCAACAGTTATAGAACACTATTTGTTACCTTAGAAATGTATTATTTTGTGTGTTTTCATCATTTCCTTCATATTCTTGATTCTTAAACTCTCTGAAGCATATAGCATGATTAGAAGTGAAGATAAAATAATTCATCATATCATTTTTGTAATATGTCTAACATTTGAGTTGCTATGGCAATGTCACTTGATAATGAGGTTCTTACATTTCACTTTCTTGAATGAGTATAAAGGTCGGGTCCAAAATAACACTTATGTGTTATGCTCTCTAGGTAAAGAAGAGCTCCTTTAGAGGTAAATAGTCACATGAATTTGTAAAAAATGTATAACTAGTTGTAGAACCCCTCCCCACAGCCCCCTAAGTTTGACGATTGGTGAAAACTGGCAAAAAAAACTTTCATTTTCTAGGTTCAAATTAAAAATGCATTGGGATGCAACAGTTATTAGTATTCAGGGAACATCTACTTATTTTGTCTGATATAACAATATGAAGATTTTAATTATTAGACAATGGGGAGTATTTTATTTGAAACATTTTAGAATCCTATCCCATAAAAATGTTGAAAAGAGGGTGTGGTCAATGTTACCATTTTGCAGCATTAAAGTTTGAAATAAATACAAACCAAGGTATTAAAACATCTTCAAATGTTACTTTACATTGATTCATGTATTACTTGTTTATAGGACACTAAATTTTATATGTTAATTTTGTATTTAGTGCATTTATAAGGTAACAAATAGTGTTCTCTTACTGTTTCTATAGCAACGGATAAGTATAATTCCTTAATTTTTGTCATACGGATCGAACGTCATACTTAGAATACTTCCTGCAAATTTCATTATTAGTGTCTGTGATATAAAGGTATCTTATTATACCCCTGTAGATTTTATAAGGGGGTATGAGAAATGCTCTGTAGAGAGGTTGGCATAGTCTAGACATTGGCATAATGTCTAATTATTACAATTATTAGTTATTATCATTAATTACAATTAGTTTTTATCATCTGAGCAATCAGACTATGACGGTTATCATGAATGAGCACAGTTCTATATGTAAGTTTAATATTTAGTACATGTATGTGTGGCATACTCTGGACATTGGCATAAAGTCAACACATAAGCATCACAGCACAGTAGAGAGGTTGGCATATTCTAGACATTGCATAATGTCTAATTATCACAACCATTAGTTTTTCTCATCTGAGCAATCAGACTATGATGGTTATCATGAATGAGTACAGTTCTTTATATAAGTTTTATATTTAGTACATGTATCATAATGAAATCTAATGTTATGCAGTAGAGTGGTTGGCATAGTCTCGACATTGGCATAATGTCTAATTATTGAAGCCATTAGTTTTTCTCATCTCAGCAATCACATTATGATGGTTATCATGAATGAGTACACTTCTATATGTAAGTTTAATATTTAGTACATGTATCATAATGGAATTTAATGATTGTAACCATATTATAGAGAGGTTGGCATAATCTGGACATTGGCATAAAGTCAACACATAAGCATCTCATCTCATTAGCCAGAAGTCGGTGGTCATTCTTTCCAATCAGCAGTGTCATTTACAATGTGCAAAGCATGGCAAAAATTCCCATTATAAAACACTTAGTTCTCATCATCTGAACAAATAGCAGAGTCCTTGTTAAGCTATATATCAGAGCCAGGTGTTTGAAAAGTAGGTAAAAAGATTAATGTAAATGACTAAAGATGATGTCTTCAAATTTTCAAGACTCCTTACACATTCACTACAAGCAAATCATGGCAAAAGGTCCTTAAAAACTCTTAGTTCTCATCATCTTAATATATAGCAGAATCCTTGTAAAACCCTGAAGCATCAGAGCCAGGTGGTGGAAAGTAGCTAGTGTGAGTGAGTGTGCTCGTGTGAGGTGGCATCTTTGGTATCTTGTGTGTGGAGTAAACCTTTTCTGGAGTAAGTAGCAACTTAACGATCTGACCACGAATGAAGAAGCAAATGTTGGCTGCAAATGTTCACACGTCACACCTGTAACTATGAGCGATAGCAAACCTGGTCAGACTTAATGTATATTGCTGCTTGGTTGACCAATGGAAAGCCATCATTAGTTAATTGTTTTCAATAATCGACATTTTTGCTACTTTTCAAACACCTGGTCCTGAATTGTAAATGATTCTGCTATATGGGTTGTAAAGGATTCCAATGTCTTGATTGTATGCCAACCTTGCTTGTCTCTACTGTATGATTGCATTGGATTACATTCTGGCACTAAATACAAAATTAACATACAAAATTTAGTGTCCTAAGTAATACATGAATCAATGTCAAGTAACATTTGAAGATGTTTTAATACCTTGGTTTGTATTTATTTCAAACTTTAATGCTGCAAAATGGTAACATTGACCACACCCTCTTTTCAACATTTTTATGGGATAGGATTCTAAAATGTTTAAAATAAAATACTCCCCATTGTCTAATAATTAAAATCTTCATATTGTTATATCAGACAAAATAAGTAGATGTTCCTTAAATACTAATAACTGTTGCATCCCAATGCATTTTTAATTTGAACCTAGAAAATGAAAGTTTTTTGCCAGTTTTCACCAATCGTCAAACTTTGGGGGCTGTGGGGAGGAGTTCTACAACTACAAGTTATACATTTTTTACAAATCCATGCGACTATTTACCTCTCAAGGAGCTCTTCTTTACCTAGAGAGCATAACACATACATTGTGTTATGTTATTATGGAGCCGACCTTTATACTCATTAAAGAAAGTGAAATGTAAGAACCTGATTATCAAGCGATGTTGCCATAGCAACTCAAATGTTAGACATATTACATAAATGATATGATGAATTATACTTCTAATCATGCTATATGCTTCAGAGAGTTTAAGAATCAAGAATATGAAGAAAATGATGAAAACACACAAAATAATACATTTCTTAGGTAACAAATAGTGTTCTAGGACTGTTGCTATAGCAACGGATTAATATTTTTTCTTGATTTTTGGCATACAGATTAAGCATCATACTAAAAATACTTCCTGAAAATTTCAAGTCTAAATCTTTATTAGTGTCTGAGATATAAAGGTGTCTTATAGTACCCCCTGTAGATTTTACTAGGAGGGTATAAGAAATGCTCTGTAGAGAGTTGCCCAAGGGTGCCGCTCCGGCATTCCGTGGTTTTGAGGTCCCAACCCTATATGCATGCTGAAAAGTTAAAAAAACATTGTAATCCGAAGAAAACGATTAGCTTTGAACTTTCTGCCAGAATATTTGCTTTCGATGCAATCATTGAACGTTTTAAATGGGAAAAAATAGGACTACTGGTATTGAATAGCCCGCGGATGGCTCCGGTACATGTAGTTCTAATTGTTTGTTTGTTAAAGTCTTCTCTACTGGCAAAACCGTTTTGTGAACTTTTCAGAGAAGCTTTTTACTAAGAATATCTGATTTGGTTTGTTTTTTAGGATGTTTACTTTCAAGGTGGTAATTGTCTACAATCCTGTCTGTTTGATGGATTAATTAAAAATTCGGGGGTGCTTGCGGGCTTCTCGATATAAAATTCGAAAACTGATTACTTATCCTCGTTATTCACGTTGATTGATCGAGATCACCAGTAGGTGTGTATATGTTTTACAAATTTTTGCTCTGTTCTTTATTTTAGGTTGCTGCTCTGTTTAAGGAAGAGATTGGAAAGGGGAATATAACTGTAGGAGCTGAAATACTGTTTAATATTGATGGATCATCACCTGATGTCATTTGGGAAACATTAAAGGTATTCGAGGTGGTACATTCCCAGTTTTCCAACCACAGTTACCATATATGCTTTGTATAGTAGGAGTAAAATATAAGTTAAAAAAATAAGGTTTGGGATAATCTACATCAACTAATAGGAAGTCATGTTACATTTCATAATATCCATTTTTATTGTATTATTGTTTATTATGAGCTTCGATTTCATAATTAAGGAAGTCTTCAAGTTCCACAGTACAAGAAGTACTCGAAGGCAAACCCGCTTTTACAAACTGGCTTCTAACGTACTACAGAAGCTGGCTTCTGCAGTCAGCAAGAGCCGGCTTTTAACAGCCTACTTCTTTATAAGTACAACAGAATCCGGCCTCTGGAGTCACCAAGAAGCCGGCTTTTACAAACTGGCTCCGTAGGTACTACAGAAGCCGGCTTCTGAAGTCACCAAGAAGCCGGCTTTTGCAAACTGGCATTTTACTTACTGACGTACTACAGAAGCTCACGATCATTGTGATGTGCTTTATGCATCTTATTCTCGTATAACTTTCATGAAAATGAGAAATAACTGAAAAATACATAAAATCTTAACATGATTCTATTTTTTGCAAAAAGTTATTTTATACCAAAACTATAAAGGTAAATTACATTCTAAGCATAACTATTGATGAATAAGATCACGTTCATCAATTTAGAATACATTATGCATCATATTTACATTTAATAAAAACGCACCGCTGATTTGTCAAAACTGGCTCGAAGTTGGAGCCAGTTTATAAATCGCTGCGCTCCATTTAACATTAAAACTATACAGAAAAGGACAATTTAGAAATTAGGAATCATGGGATACTGCCTCACGATCATTTGTATGTGTTTTATGCATCTTACTCTTGTATAACTTTCATGAAAATGAGAAATAACTGAAAAATACATAAAATCTTAACATGATTTTATTTTTTGCAAAAAGTTATTTTATACCAAAACTATAAAGGTAAATTACATTCTAAGCATAACTATTGATGAATAACATCACGTTCGTCAATTTACAATATATTATGCATCATATGTCCGTTTATTAAAAACACACCGCTCATTTTTCAAAACTGGCTCCAAGTTGGAGTGAGCCAGTTTACAAATCGGTGCGCTCCATTTAACAAAAGCTATTTAGGGACAATCTAGCGACTTGAAATGATGGATTACTGTCCGCCGATCATTTTGATGTACATCATGCATCTTATTCTCGTACAACTTTTATGAAAACTGAGAAATACATACAATCTATATCATTTTGGAAAAGAAAACTAATAATATATAAATTTTCCCTTATGCCAAATAAGGTGCTTTGTGGGTCGAACGATTGTATCTGTGCATTATGTTAATGTTTGACTGACACATCAGTTTAGGGTTAACCTCAGTGAAACAAGTTTATAATCTTAGTTCAACTTACAGGCTGCTTGCAATAGCACTAGTAGCTCACAATAGAACGTTCTGATAATATAATTAAAGTAAATCACTGTACATGCAATTGTATCATAATAATATTGCATATCATTTATGAACAATTAATATATTTATACACTTATGGACATTTAATATATTTATATCCTTATGGACACTTAATATATTGATATACTTGTGGACATTTAAAAAATTGTCTACACTTCGATATATGTGAATACTATACAGCTAGTAGGAGAAAATATATTCCGGGAAGGAAAAACTAAATAATAACAGGGTGAGTACAATTTGTTTCACCACTTGTAACTATAATTTATACGAGATCGGACATGGCAGAGACTCCTGTGACAAAAATTCTAGTTTTCGGACACTCTTTAATCCATTGGTTAAATGAACATCAACAGAAGTATTTGAAAAATCTGAGCCTAGATGATTCATTTAAGTTACATTTTCTTGGTATACGCGGAGGTAATTTTGGATGGAATTCCAACTCAAAAAGCCGATTTCAAAAAAGGAGCTTACAGGCATATCTTTCATCAGAAGTAAAGAAATTCAGACCAAGAATTGTCTATCTACAATTGGGAGGAAACGATTTGAGCAGCCGTCGTTATAACGAGAACGATATAGCGATGAAGATATACAGTTTAGCAATGTTTCTATTAGAGGGGTTCGATTTCATAAAATTCGTTGGAATTGGCCATGCTTTTAAAAGGCTATTACCTACAGCAAAATATGAACTATACGAGAGAAGACGCCTCGCGATGAATAAGAAATTAAACATTCTTACAAGTTCCGATACCCATATATGTGCTTTCCCTAATCAAGGATTTTACAATGACGTAGACGAACTATATGATGCGAAAGGCATTCACCTCTCCGAGAAAGGAAACCAAAAATTTGCTACTAATCTGAAGAGAATTCTGATTTTCGCTCGGGATAAAACAACATAAAGTGAGTTTTGCCATGTCCATCTCGCAATATTTAAATTGATCTATAAACATTAGTGTAATACAAAATATAAATTAAATAAATTCCTAGTATCAGTAGTGCTAGGTAGCCATAAGTGATTAGTAGGAATTGATTGATTAAGTAGTTATACGAATTTAAAATAACTTTACATCACTTTGGCTAAATAATATATTGCACAGAATTAGTGTATGCAGAAATGCCTCGCTTGTCGGCAGCATGAGGGGTGGCGTGGGGTTAGGTTAATTCCTTACCATAATTGTTCCTCGCATCTGCAATAATTAATTATGTTATGCGAAGAATACTACTGATTCTACCATAACTTGGATCATGCTGAATACTGCCGATTCAACATGCATGGCCAACAATAATTTATAATGAACATGATCCATTAACATGGGTATTTAATGCAAGGTAGCGTTGGGTAAGATCAATCTCTTACCACAATCATTCATCGCACATTTAGGAAATCCAACTTGTGAAGTTAAATAAATGGAAAATAATAATATTTACACGCAACACGAATTGTTATGTTTACTTCACAACAAGCAGATCTAGGGAGTAACACAAAGAACAGTAATACTACTAGTAGAAGACAGTGATACAGAGTCCTTAATTAATGTTGGCTCATTCCGTGCAAATAAAAACAATAATTAACTTACATTTGTGAATTGTGTTATATTTGGTCTATATTTAACGTAACAGAGTAGTGCTCGATCATTTATTTATGATAAAACGCATTATTAGTTGATACATAAATAAAGGGGGGGGCACTAAAAACTAGCTTTCGAATGATGCTGGTTTTAAGCAGGGACATTCAAAACTTCAAGGGGGACACTTAAAACTTGGAGTTAACTGTCCGACGGACAAGCATCCCCAGGATTAAGTGTCTCATGGACACTGGCCACTGGGGACACTTATATCTGTTACACCGACTTTGTATATTTGCCATCGACCCTTTCTCAGTTCCGAAGTGCCCTTATCTAGCGAATTCATCTGCGTTCCATAATTTGAAGTTGTATTGCTAAGAAAGCCCAATGTTTTGTGTTTAAGACCCACTATTCTTACTATTGAAAATGGATCCCAGCAATACTATCCAACATGAATATGTTTGTTGCCACTTGCTGACCAATGACCTAGCATCGGGATACCATCATATGTATGTCACCATGTAATAGTATCACGGTGACAAAGTGTTAACATTGGAGATTGTCCCGGTGTGAAAGAAATGATGGTCCCCCAGGGATTATGGTCCCTTTCTTAACGGCGCTTACTGGCCCTGATTGCGTATACGATAATGAGGGAAAGAGTTGTATTTAGGTCACCAGTATAAATCAATGGAGAGTAGGACCATACTTTGATAGGACCTCCTACCCTTTTACACCGGTGTATAAAAGAAATTATGGTCCCCTGGGGATTATAGTCCCCTTTCTTAAAGGCCCTTACTGGCCCTGATTGTGGGTACGATAATAAGGGAAAGAGTTGTATTTAGGTCACCATATAAATCAATGGAAAGTAGGACCATAATTTGATAGGACCTCCTACCCTTTTACACCGGACGTGTTTTTTCAAACAATTTAAACGTGTTTTTGGAAAACTTGAGAGGTAGGTTGATAAATTTGGTTATGAAATTGATGTCACTTAACTTTATGTAAATGTAAGTAATTTGTATTGCTTACCATAATTGTATCCTAACTTAAGGTATCCGCAAACGCGTTATTTGCACGAATCTTCTGCTATAGCCTTGTTAAATCGGAAAAAGAGCGATTCTGGCAGTGTTACACATATTTTTGAAAATCACTAGCCTGACTTGTATTCAATGAATACATCGATTCATATGGAAAGTGCTCAAAATATGTGCGAAAACCACAAATTAAAAGAGCTTACATAAGTTGCAATTGATCGAATACTTTTTTTGAATTTAACTATTTAGACGTGTCCAAAATATTCCTTCTCGATCGTTAACTCCACTTTCTACATTTACAGTCATTTATGGCAATTTTAAGATAAAGATAGTTAAAATATAAACACGATCTTTAGAGTAGTGAATATTATTCCACGTTGTTGAATGGATAGTCTGTTTAAACTTAATTAAACAACACTAAATGCAAATTCAGTACATATTGGTATATAATTGCGAGTATTGTGAAGTATGATGGAATGAACGCCAAAATAGATACGTGGTTATGAAGAAGAACATCTTAGGTAGAAGTCAAGTAATGTTAATTTGTAAAATATAGAATCTACTTACCTTTTTGCTCCATTATAACGATTGTCGTATTCCATGTTCTTACAAAACACGTCTAAATCGTTTGAAAACCACGTCCACATTGTTTAGACTTGAGCTCCGTGAGTACTTCAATGCATCCGAGCTATAATCCTCATTTTCTCAGAAGAACTCAAGTTGATCGAATCACAACAAGTACATTCATCTGGGATAGTATTTCTAGAATCCATTTTCAATAGCAAGAATAGGGGCTCTTAAACAGGACATTAAAGCTTAGCAGAGGCTTTTTGAATTTTTTTGTTAGTACTATTAACTATAACCACATTGTGATGTCGATCTTTTTTATAGGACATTCGGATATTTGTTGCATTTGCTCCCCATATGGGTTCGCTTGGCATATTACCTCTACAATTTTTGTTATGCAAGGTAATCAAAACAAGTTCATAATAAAAATGACAAGTTGACAAAAACCTCTTTTACCCCCCTATCACACCAAACTAGTTCTTACCCGTTCTTGCCAGTCCTACGAAAACGTCGTAAAACGGGCTCAATCTGGCTGTGGTCGGGAAATATGTCTAAAATTATTAGCTATTTCGTTCATAAACAGTCTTCAATACATCCATCTCATTCGCAGTTCGTTCAGGTCGCACCACGTCGGTGTGCAACGTCGTATAACGCTCCCTTAGTCTAGAAGGTGGCAACTTGCTTGGTGTGATAGCTATGCTAACTCGTTGATAAATACAGGGTGTTCAAAAAAAACGCAACCCAAAGAAATTGCTATATCTTGAAAAATACTGGTTCCATTATGTTCATTTTTTCAGGAAAGAAAGAAGAGACTGTGTATGTATAGCTCCTGTAGTTGGTTAGTTGTAAAACATGATGCATTGGACACCCGCTTAAAAGACAGTTGTACTAGGAAAATACGAAAAACCCAGTCAGGGCTGACTGCAACCGCAAAAAAACTAAATAACTTCCTAGCCATAGTGTTTTGGCTCTTCAAATTTTGCACAAATCATCTTCATTTACTGTATGGTTAATCTGTAAAGTCAAATTAAAATCACTTTAGGGAAATGCTTTCAAATCGCAGTCAAACGCCCTGGTTCCGGCAGACTTCAGAAGGCATTTTGACCATGACTGTAAAGTCCCTGAAGTGTTTTTGATGAAACTCCACAAGTTCACCAAACATTAAATGAGGATAATTTGTGCCAAATCTGAAGTGCCAAAACACTATGGTTAGAAAGTTGTTAGGTTTTATTGCTGTGGCAGTCACCTCTGACTGCGTTTTTTAAATTTTCGTAGAATAACTGTCTTTTGGGCAGGTGTCCAATGCATCATGTTTTACAACTTACTAACAACGGAAGCTATACATACACAATATTGTCTTTCTTTTCCTGAAAAAATGAACATAATTGAATAAGTATTTTCCAAGATAAAGTGATTTTCTATTCACGTTTTTCGTATTTTCCTTGTATGACTGCCTTACATACACAGTCTCTTCTTTCTTTCCTGAAAATATGAACACAATTGGATAAGAATTTTCCAAGATATAGCGATTTCTTTGGGTTGCGTTTTTTTTAACACCCTGTACGTTCTTAATCAGCATTAACCCGTTTGCAATTAATTAGTTCTTCCTCGTTCTCAATACGTCCTCAGACAGTTCAACTCGTTGTCAAAATGCATATGTCCCTAGTAAGATTGAAGTAGGACTGTTCCGTTCGTAGTAGGTCATGATGACCTTCTAGACTAAGGGAGCGTTATACGACGTTGCACATCGACGTGGTGCGACCTGAACGAACTGCGAATGAGATGGACGTATTGAAGACTGTTTATGAACGAAGTAGCTAATTATTTTAGACATATTTCCCGACCACAGTCAGTATTGAGCCCGTTTTACGACGTTTTCGTAGGACTGGCAAGAACGGGTAAGAACTCATTTGGTGTAAAACAGTGTTTTCTGAAAAAAATGAACCGAAATAATATATGACGGTGCTTCCTCAAAACATCAACAGAATTTTCTAAAATGTTATGAAATTCAAGTTTCACTTAAATGACATATGCAATGACGATCATGCAATGTACAATTCGTCTTTTTATAGTTGTACAAGCACGGATTCTACGGAAGACATCATGTTATATTATCTTACTACCCAACGGTACAAGAACAGTGGGATTCGGTTCACGAAACGGATTTTGAATGTTCAAGATCCAACATGTTTGAGGTTCTTCAAGGAGCCTTGGGATGTTCTCTCAGCGTATCAACCCTTTTGGGAAAATATGACGATGAGCGGCATTTTAAAACAAACCAGGTATATTTAATCTCTCACTCAATTGATTTAAGACATATAATGTGCAAAACAGTAACACCCTGTAATAAGCCTCCGTTGGAGTATAATAATTTCATTAACATCTGGTGCTTAGCAGTAGTGAAAACAGCTAAAGTGAAGTAAAAATTGTGGACACTGCTAATAGATATATACCACAGAGCACTACATGTAGAGTCTAGACATTCCAGTTAAATCCACTTCAAATCTTATCACTCGGGAAATGTTAGAACAAAGTAAAACACTTATCGAAGAAAGGGACCCCAGACAAAACCTACCAGAAAAGATGACAAGAGGTTCACGAAGACGATCCTAAAAAACATCCTTAAAGGGAGCTCAAGGAGAAAGCTGGATGATGCCGATACCAGCTGCATATGAATATATATATATGAATATATATCTGAAAAGAAAAATGAGCATTGACGGACGGTTCAAGGGAATTATTCAATTTTGGGAGATATCCTTACTTCACTTAGACAGAAACATGCATTTACCATACATTTTAAACTGACATCCAATCACATAAGATCAAAAGCCACATTATGTTGAAAACATGATCAAAATTATACATTTTCTATGCTTTGTTATAGACATATGCTGAGTTGAGGTCTATTATTAGGCCAAGAAGCAATGTCGAGGTGAGACGGTACTTTCAACCAATTCTGTATGACACTATTTGGGCAATTGCATTGGCTTTAAATGCAACTATTCATGATGTGGAATATGGAGTCAACGACGTTAAGAATTACAAACTAAATGAAGACATGACAAAACCATTATTGGATTCGCTGTATGGTAATCTACTCAATGTCAACTTTCAAGGAATATCGGTGAGTAACATACTGTACCCTTAGTACCCCAAACTTCTTTTTTAATTATCACTTTCTTTTGAGATCTACACGCGACCTTTTGACAGGTGTATGGAAAAAGTTATTTTCAACGAAAAGAAATAACACATTTGTGCGACTTTGGATTTATAATGCGATGGGAGTCTAGTTTGCATTTTAAGCAAGATTGGCATCACAATTGAATTTCTTTCTAGCATTAGTGTACTATCTCAGGGTGTTAATTAATGTTACATATAAATGATTATATATTGTAGGGTCACTTCTATTACAACAACACTAGGGGCTTCAGACAGTTCAAGACCTACATTGGACTTTTTGGATGTGAGTACATCTTTATATTTAAGTGTAAAATATTCTACTACGGCTGAAATACACTGTATAATTATTTGCCATTTTGCATTTGAATAATATAAATATTTTACAGCTAATGGTGAATTGTCGACGAGCATTGGATACGTTGAAGTGGATAAGAAAAGGGTAGTAATTTCACAATCTGATGACATTATATGGAAATCGAAAGGTACATTTTTGACATGAAGTGTAATGGCTTCAGTATGTATGATTAAAATGCCCCTCGCGTTATAGTCTTGGATTGTGATATTGGTACTCGAATGGTGATGATCGGGTATTAGATAAAAGGGAGTTTAAGTTTGCAATGTTTTTCGTAACTTTAACGTGAACGGAAAATATTTAAGCGATGCATTTAAATGGACGATTGGTCATACGTATAGGTTGGCGTTTCGATTCTATAGGCAAGCTTAATGTTTCTTTTCACGTTGGATTATAATTTTGGAAACCGCCATGTATTAGATTGGGCTTGTATTCCTTATGACTGGTGTACTCTCATTTTTCTTCTTTATCGTGCTATGTTCTGTAACAATTTTTGGTACTCTCCCATTTGCATTTGCGCAGTCATATTTTGTGGTTTCATATTTAGTCTACATATAAATAGGGTGTAACGATTTCAAAAAAACTTGTCATTTTTCAAAATATTGGAATTGAAGATCATAGTGGTTATGTTATTTTGATGATAAACGGTATTTGATAGTCTTTCTGTCGGGAAAAATAAAAGAATATGTAATTTCACAGGTGGCGCTGCCCCACCCGACCGGGAAATCAAGCAATATCAACGCAAGCGTATCAGTAGTGCCGCCATTTTTGTGCTCTCTGTCATTGCGGCCATTGGTATAGTTCTAGCGTTGATCTACATTATATACGCAATCAGCCATGGAGGCCATTTGTAAGTACAATTCAAATGTCCGCTGCAATATGATTTAATATGAGTAGGATGTGTTGAACACATACATTTTTACACAGGCTTAGGGCGATAGATAGGATGTTTATTAAAATGATGCCAGTGGAGACAACGTTTTTGTGTTAACATATGAATTGCACGATTCAAATCCGACCTTAGATTGACCTCATAATATTGCGAGCAACTAGGTGGTGACATTTTGTCATATTAACTTGTTAAAAATTGAATTATGTAAACATCCGATGCAGCAATAATAAAAAATTGAAAATCACGGTGTATTCAATTTTGAGATACCTTGTTTATTTATGTTTTAACATGATACAGTTTGTAAATAATTTATGGAACTAGAGGACATATTTCCAGGATGATCAAAGACGAGTGGCCGATAATAACAAGTGTAATAATTGTTGGCTGTATCTTACTAGACGTTTATGTTTTGATTCACGTAGCTGATCTAGAGACTGGAATACACCCAGAGCCCCTCCATGTTGATATGTGTAAGGTGCGCAGCAATGACGTTTAAAATTTGAGCAAGTTGATTGGACCATCGTGGCATAAATATATTTTGCATTTTACGATTTGTATGGAATAATATTTGTATGGAATGATGTTGAGTGCAATACCTGTATATGCAGCCCGAAGAGCAAGTGGAATACATCCCCCGGGAATATATGCAGGTATTGCACAAAACATAATTCAATATTTGTTTTATTATTTCATACATATCAACAGTTTAACAATATTAATCTATTAACTATAAAGTATCTCAAAAATTGAAAATTGGATAAATAATGCCACATGTTCAAAGTAGTGTATATGTGACGTCACATTCGTTGAATACCTGTATTTATTTTTCTAAAAATACACCTTTCATATCGATGACTTACACACGAATGGAATATTTTGTTGTATTTTTGGTCACATGGCACATGACTGACCAATCACATACTGATTATCTCAACATTTTTGGGCGAAATAAAGACTTACATTTAAATCTCATTGTATGTCCGATGTATTGATAAGAACCTTATCTTTCATTTGACACCAACAACAGCTCAAATGGACCACATCAAAGCTTACAATAAATTATCAAAAAAATGTTTTTGATCTGTCAAGCTTTATATATGTATTTGTTCTCTGAAAAGTGACAAATATTCAGAAAATAGTATAGGGCATACTCACTGTAAAGACTGTTGAATCGGTGAAATGAAAATTTAGAAAATATGATTAGAGAAACTGATTTAAAGAATAGGTCCTAGTATACCCTGCTTCTCTACACATACGAATCAAGAAAATGTTAACACGAATGATTGATGGTAGCTGCAATCCTTTAACTTTGTAGCATGAAATATTTTAGCAAAAATTGAAAAGTTATATCAATTATTGCCATGTTCCTTTTAGATGAAAAAGAATGTGCAATTGATTATTACCAGATGATGTAAATCATGTCATTCCTTGTCTTGTTTATTTAAGGCAACCACGGGGCTACTAATATTTGGCTTCACGTTCTTTTGTGGCGGCATGACGGTTAAACTGTGGGGTGTTTACAAGTTTTTCAGTCAGGACAAAACGGCAAGTTGATAGCTTGATACTTTTAAAGGTGGAAGGGGGTAATATTAAGCCAGTTGAGTTGTCTCCTGAATGTGTGTGATTTTCAAGTTCTCATGATTATCATGGTAATAATCAAAATTAAAATACAACTAACACGGCCTAAAATCTGCGAAACCAGAATTCTTGGCTTTGTTAAAAAAAGAAAAAACAATAGATCAACAAATTAGATATTGATGGTTAAAGTTCACAGAAATTATCAATCTTACCACTAATTTGATACATTCACACATCCATGTTATACTCTTTATCGTTTTTGGAATTAATGATCTTGTCTTCATGGCTTCAGAAAGTGATACAAGAAGCGTGGCTGATGTTAATCTTTTTCTTTCTTCTTGTTGCTGACGTTACACTGGTTGCTGTATGGTTCGTCACAGATCCCATGATTGCAAATGAAAAGGAAATTAGCTCAACGGTAAGTATTTATTTTGCAATCATCAAATGTAGTGAAATGTTGTTATGGTCTCAATTTTGTGACAGACTCTTGCGTTCAGCGTCCATTACAAATGACAGGTGGTGACATTTTGCATGTTAATGCCTGGTTTTAAAAAGCCAGATTTGTGGTATACATCCAAATGAATGTTCAAAATGTGCATCGCTGATCATGCATCAATAAATCAGGGATTGTAGCTGTGTAACAGTACTTACTTTTCTTAGTTGGACGATGATACATCAGTCAGAACGATTACGGTGATGATCACATGTGAATCAAAATACAAAACATATTTTCTCATCGCCACCCTGTGTTACAAGGCAATTGTGTTACTGATTGGTGGATTCATAGTTTGGCCTGCTTTGTAAGTAACTATGTCGTAATGTCACATTAAATCGTTCGATAATTTCATCAAATATAAATATTGTAAATCTCAACAGTTTATAAAAACATCATGGATATGCACTACACAGTCAAGCCAAGTAACTAAGTCAACATTCGAAAATAAAAATCTCAAAAATCTTACATCTTTGATTTCCAAAATAATTTATGAGGTAGTTATCAAGATGATAATACACATTTTAACGTATTAATTTTGAGTACACCTCGAATCCATTCTTAACAAAGCGTTCTCAAAATTGAACATTTTACATTTCTAAATTAATAAGTTCCTTGGAATACAACTTAACTGTTGACGATTTAAGTCATTAATAATATTTCCCTTAGTGATCCCATGCCAAATAGACAGTAACTGGGTCAATGTTTTGTGTTCAACCTTGTTTTCATGACTTTTTAACATGAGTCGGCAATTATGTAGGAAATTTCATTTCCAAATGTAAGCGTGTCAACTCCTGTTTTTGCACAATATTTAGCCTTTTATAATGATAGATCGCCAAAATCTGCATGTACCTCTCAATGAGGCGATATGTTTTTAAATTTATAGATGTAAGCTCTAAACTCAAACAAAAATTCAAACCACCCGCTATTATTTTGATTACACAAGACGAAATTTCCACTCCCGGGGAGCACTTTTTTAACACTTTGAAGTGGGATTCTTGAGAAATCGTTCGAATTTTCACAAAAAGTTTCATTAAGTTTTATTGCTTTGTTTAAGTCTCAACTAATATCATACTCAAATCCGATACCATAATTATGAATTAAAATGTATCATTAAACTCACCAGGTTATATGATAAACTGTTTCGAGAATTGATGATATCAGTTAACTGTGGATATTTATATAAACTGTTAGTCGGCATGTATTCGACAGTGAATGTACACGCCTGATGTATGCATCAACGTGTGACTTAAATATCAATTCGTGACTATCATATTTGGCTTTCAAAAATTAAGTTGGAAGTTACAGTGGTAGGAGATTAACGAAAACATCCAAATATCCGAACGACGTCAAGAATTAACAATACACTTTTCGTGCATCGCGAACAAGGCAAGGTTCTGTGATCCAGCAATGTGCATTCCGAATGAAAAAGTCACAAATATCAACAAATTTCATTGAGTAGGATATTACATTCGAAATCACAACTTTCAAAATATATGTTTTAACCAAGAATTGTAAGAACTTGAAACATGTTGTCAGTTTTTCCAACCGCGTATCCTCATTTACGTTCTTTGACAAGAATGACTCCATTTGGAAACATGGATTTTCTTGATTATTCTTCAAAACTACCATTGAAATATAAGTATGTAGGATATTACAGTGTATATTGACACGCATTTGTTTGCTCCATATCATAAACAAATAAATGCAGTTCCATCTTTCAATATTTGAAAACAGAAAGTTCATTCTGTATGTAAACAAGAAAAAATACATTTGTGGTTGGTTCATAATGAAAAACGACAAATAACATACATCTTTTGAAGTAGGGGTATACAAGGACACAGTGGAAAATCAGAAATTTAGACCATTTCCCCAAGATTGCTTCCCCAATATGTAACAGAACATCAAAATTATCATTTACACGTTTGCTGATAGGTTTATTGAAAATAATTAACCAGAGGTTTACTTCAATTGTGGCACCATTCTTAGTAAATATTAATGAACATACAAATATCGAATGTTGACTAAGTTACTTGGCTTGACCGTACAGAATAAGCTTAAAACATTTTCGGTGATTTATATAAAATGTGAAATGTTGGAAACAATCTTTTCATTAAACATATATAACGATATGTTCCAAGTTAAAGGCAGAATCAGCCAGAATCGAAGTGAAAACGGAAACGTCTACTCAGTTTTTCAAAATTATTAAAGGAAGTACTATTCAAAAAAATCTTGACATTTATGGTACTAATCTAATATTAAAAGTTTACGTATGCTAAGTTATGACTATATTTTCAGGTTCATGTCTGTGAAGAAAGGCTTCGTTCATTTCTCTGAGTTTGTTATCGCTGTGTTTACTAGTTTGTTGGTCAGCATTTTGCTGGTTGTTATATCGTTCATGATCCCGACTGAACCGAATGCTTTGTTCATCATTAATGGATGCCTCATATTATTCACAACGATTTTGACTACTTTACTGATTTTCATTCCAAAGGTAATTTCAAAATATCCGACAAACAACATTATAAGCATATTATTTTCAGAAGGGGTTAACTATGTAAAAAATGTACGCTACGGTTATATGTTTAGATATTTAAAAGCGAACATTTCTGTTTAGGCCACTGTAATAGCAAGAGGAGGTGACAGACTTTCCCAGAAGTTATTTTCACCGATCGGTGCAGCGTTTGGTTTCCTTGGAACGGTTGCTAGTGAAGGGCAGATGCCAGGACTGGGTGCTTCCAAATCGATGAAAATGCCTGGAGTTGCTCTCGCTGCAGGAACGATCGAAAGAAGTGGATACAATACTTCATTGTACAAGGAATATCACCACCATGGAACGCCTGGATCTACATCGTCTAATAATGGCGCAAATAAAGATGTTGATAGTGGAATGTTATAAAAACCCTTCGACCTTCGACCTGCACCTTCGACCTTCAGCTTCGACCTACAGGGTATCCAAAAAGCGGGCCAAAAAGAAAGTTATAAAAACCCTTCGACCTGCACCTTTGACTTTTCTTATGAAAATTGTCAAAGTCCCAAAATATTTCTTTGAAAAACGACTAAGTCCAACTTCACATAGATTATGAAATTAAACGGAGCTCTGTCCTCGTCGAAAGCTATAGCTGCCATCTCTTGAGTTTACATCGGCGAAATACTTTATAGGCCTGGTGACGTCATCACTTTTCGGACAAGATTTCAAAGTTAAATAACAAGTTATTGACGCCATATCCCGTTTTAATATTGATCACACAACAAGACTAAAATTGGAACTCAATAAATAGAACAGTAATTGATCGCTACTTACTCTAATCTTACTTCGATTCAATCGAATCAAAACCAGGAAGTAAGTTCTAAAAAGGGAAACTTCCATTTAAACTACCCGATTGACTACCCGATCAACATCAACAGAATCTTAATTTGATAACATGAAAACGCTATTTCACCCCTGTAACTATACCTAGAGTACTGCAAACGTTGCTACAATTTAAGATCTTAACGATCTCACCTGTGAACCACAAATCAGGTGACTCTTGCGTGGTCTGAGATCGGCAAAAATAAATTCTATAATATTTTCTTTTTGGACACCCTGTAAGTCGAAGGTGAAGGTTGAAGGTGCAGGTCGAAGGTCGAAGGGTTTTTATAACATTCCGTTGATAGTTACTATTATGATCACAGGAAGTCATAATAATGTTAAAGGCTACGTCAGAGAACTTATCAATGAGACATATAATATATCTAAACATTGTACACTGCGTCAAATGTGAAATTCCAAGCAATTTCTAGACGTGCAAAGATAGTCTAGGAACTCCGCGTATCTAGAGATTCCAAGACGTGTCAAGAGGTGCAAAGACCTCGCGTGTAAAGAGCGTGTCAAGAGTTTTGATATTTCTTTGCACAGCCTTATCAAAACAAACAGTATAATTAGACCGGCCACATGTTGTTATGCCCTATAGTCGCGCTTAATTATACTTTACTAGAATTGGAATATAACAATCATTTTAATTTCGTGTTAATAATAATTTGTGTTTTTTAAATCATTATCAAAATAAAATTAATTTAAAAGTATGCGTGTAAGTATAGGCAATAGCTTAGTCGAAATGAGTAGATGTGTGCAGATGGAGATCGCCTATGTATTTTGCTAAATCTGACATTTTTACAGGATCATGTTAAAGATCAAATGAAAACAAGAAATGTGTTTTTCTTAGGTTTATCTACCCTGATTTCGAGTGATTTTAACTTGGACGCATATTCCTAGATATTAAAACAGTTTGAATAATTAACAAAGTCCACTTTGAACCGTGTCAATCAAATTGTCAAATATGTAGATAGCACATGCAGGCCCGAATACAGGGGGATAGATTGGTTCTAGCGACCCCCCCCCCCTCCGTGACCAAAATTGCATTTTTTTACCCCATACTGAGCACCTTTTAAATTATTTTGCTCATTTTTGAACTAACATTGCCAAAAGTAAACTCCCCCTGGAATTTCTTAAAAAAGTAACCCACCCCTTGGCAAATCCTGGCTATGGGTCTGAAACGCCTGAAACATGCTCTGATATAATGAGGCATATTCTGTGATCTGAGCATATCAGATGGGAAGAGTTATGAATGTCAATAAGTGTGATTGTTATCATGTAATCATCTACCTTAATGTCAATACATTACATAATGTAGTAAGGCATTGTACATGTATTTAACAACAGGCACATCCTTCTTCAAAGGACTTCATTTATACTTGTAAAATACCCTTCCAGCGAGGATGCAACAGGCACAGTTACACAAGTCTTATGACCCCAATTAGATGAAATATGAGCTGGGATGAAAGATCTCAAAAATCAAGGGCTGGGAAGATCCCGGGGGGAAGATTTGAGATGTCATGGTTTACTATCATGACGCTGAAACATGTGTCGCTTATTGTCACCTGTATTGATCATGATGGGGCGACGGCAGTGCCCCGAGTCTTTTTGATCTGTTTAATCTTATTAGTTACTATTTAAAATTGAATAATTTAGGACCCCGGAAGCAAAACAACTCTTTGTTATGAAAGGAATACACCACCCACATGGACAGAACCCCTCATGTAAACCATCTATAAATACCTTTGAAATCAATTTGATTTTCGATCTACATCTGAATCTCAGATGGAGAGTACTCTTTGACAAGATCAACATTTAAAAGTGTAGGAAAGTTTTGATAAAGATGTTTAATAGCTAATTATTCAGACATATTGTTCTTTCATGTTGACGATCATCGAACATAATTGCAATCAACTTCCATGATATTTGCAATTTTGAATTTTGAATTATTTTGAATGCAAATGTACTCAAGTACTATATCCTGAGTTCTGCCCGGATCCCCGAAAACGTTTAAAATCAAACTCGATTATTTAGCTAGACTTCAAAATAAGGGATTCAATAGAAACATGAAATCCATATCACTGTATAAATTGTGGAATTTCTAGTAATTTTTAGACGTGCTTAGCCGGTCTAGAAACTCTGCGTATCTAGAGATAGAGGAGGGGAGAGAGGGCTAATTTTATAACTGAAATTAAAAATAGCTTATGATCTATAAATATAATATATGGTTGTTCTTATAATGAACAACTATTGGTTTAATATCTGATATGTGGACGGATATTTATTGATTTGGTTTAAAAAGAAACTGAATGTAGGGTTGCAAAAATGAGGGAGACAAAGACGTTCGAAGGGTGGGGGTAAAATTTGATTAAAATTAAGCTGAGACAGAATGAGAATAAACATACCTGTTAGTTGCTCATGTAAACGAAAACAAATTAGAGGGTTCATTAGCACCGCAGACCAGATTTGCAAAATTGGGGGAGTGCATTTTCCCAGGATTTCAAACAATACTATATCTAAAATGTTGCCCCTCATATGCCTGGGTCATATTTGCTCCGATTCATCGGCCGGGGGCCGGCCGATTGAGTGTTTTTTCAAACATGAAAACAATTTTAAACAAAATACTCAATCGGCCGGAGGGCGAACGATGAATTTGAGCAAATGTGAACCAGACATTGCAAATTCCTTCAAAATTGAACTAGAAGTTTCAAATGAAAGCCATTCAAAGCTCCTTTCTTCTCCCTTCTCTATTGGTTAAGCGGGGGGGGGGGGTGCGATCATTCACGAATCGCACCCCCCCCCCTGGTTACGCCTATGTGTTAAAACTTTACACAATATCAATATTTAAAACTGTATCTTGTAAGTGGCTTATTAAGCATCAGATCAATCACTAAGAACCCCTCTTATCTGCCGTTTGCGTTTGGAAGGATAAAGACAAAGGGGACGCGGCTACATATATATCGCGATAACGTGAAATCTTTATGACATATCCCTTCACCAGGGCCTACACCAATATTCTTAACACCACTTATTAAAGGATGCATGCATCAAGGGGTAGACATCATTCAAAAGACATAAACATGGGGAAGGTTTGCATACGATGCAATTTGTACATGCAAGCTCATTTTTCACATATAAATTAATAAAGTCGATTCCTTGGGAATACGTTATTGGGTTCATAAGCGTAACGAGGAGAAGCGGTGGGTTCGCACCCCCTCCTACAAGCAATAAAAGGTACCATAAGGTAGAGGAAGAAAAGAGCATTTAATTGATTTTTTGTTTGAAGCTTAGGTTTGAAGGAAGTTGCATCATTTTCGTAAAAATTCAAAACAAATATTTTTTGTCTCATTTATGTCACGATCGCACCCCCCGACTGAAAACCTAAATATTTTGGTGATTGCATCACCCCTCCCCCCGACTGAAAGCTGGCTACGGCCCTGGGGTTTTATCGAAAACTATATCGTCAACATTTTATCATTATGCGGAAAGTCCAATATGAAATCTTAAATGGTAAATATGTTGCATTTATGGAGGGAATTCCACTGTAAACTATAATGTGAATGTTTGATATGAATACTTCCATACAACCATCAATATCCATTCTTTTGACATAAGATGTTACAACAAAGGGAATATTGAAAACTACAGTGGTAAGAGCATCTTTCTGACTGCTAATTATGTGTATCAACATTTTGATTGCACCTCAGCTGGAGATTAAATCTTATAATAATTTGATCAAAGGGATTGTAATTCTCCCCAATTCGCTTATCTATGTTACAATCTGTATACTTGTTATATTGTGAGCGGTATGTGTTGATAAACCAAAAAGATATGTTTTTCGGATATCAACATTTAGAAAAAAGTGTAAGATACCATTCTATATGTTTATCTTAGTGTTTAGCATAGGTAAGAATGGGGGATGGGCTGGCGGGGGTCCGTCTTTGAATAATTCCAAGGGGTTCATATATTATCACAATTTTGCTACAAAATCACTTGGAAAGTGCATGATTTGAAAGATTATTTGGCCAAGGCGTCCGCTATTAACATGAGTATGAATTTTATAAAAAAAATTACTTGAATCAAAATCGAAGAATTCCTTGCCCCGTGTGTTCACCATTCACCCGGGGGGTTTACACTCGGCTCAGGTGGGGTACCTTTTTTACATTTGGTATGTCAAGCCAATGGACCCACATTTTAAGACAGATTTTTCCATTTTTCTGGTATAAGAATCGGTGTGGAAAATATGTTACCCCTCAATTGTGGTACGGCATTGGTCCCGGGGCATTGGTCTAGTTGTTACACATATCCTTCATTTGAGGTTGTTTATGATCACTCAAAGATCTGCCTTCTTCTCGGGGCATTCGATATTTCGAATGGCCTTGGTCTTATATTCTGGATATTTGGTACCCGGGGGTATGGCATTGGTTTATTTTAGTTTGTATGAGAACACATTTAATGCCATCCCCCCAAATTACAAATCTACATCTATTCTCTCTATCCCAAAGGTGGATCGGAAGCATGAAAAACAGATGCAGACTCGGGACAGTTGCAAGGGGGGCTATAATGGAGAAATTCGTTTTGATTTTGAGTCTAACTGAAATATTTTGTCACAAATATTAATTAAATACGCAAATAGCCTGTTTTATTAAATGAGACTAAGGCAAAAAATCTATTCATTAAATCTAAAGCCTAGACGATATCTTCTGTAATCAAGGTGGTTTTGGTACACTTCCGCAATTATAAAAACAAAAACATAGACTAAGTTATTAATCTTTTGTTATCATATCAGATTAAGTCAGTTTTGTCTCCGATTGTTATGCAGGTGTGTGTATCGACTCCAGTGAACAACATTAAGTGAATCAATCCTTGAAATTCCCAAATTCATTCCAAATTCTGGCCGTTAACCCCCCCCCCTCCCCCATGTCTCTTAATTACATTTATTTTGCAAATGATATATAAATTATAGATTAAAATATTTCATTTTCGAATTGCACAAAGGGCAACATGTGAAGATAAAACCGCGATCCTAAAGCTACTTGCGAAACAAAGTGGTTTATGGTCCCCAATATCATTATTATATTATTACCAATACAATGTACCTCTATGAATATCATAAATTCACTCCTTTTTAATATCAATAGTCAAACATATTAAGTAGTATGCTACAGTTGGTTATCAATCGGAGTCCACGACCTATTGATTACTCTTTAATACAAAATTTAACCATTTTAGAATGGGTAACTCACACCCCCCCGTCCATGTCCATGAAGTGCGTAGACTGACATAATAGTGTCATTTATTAATTAAACATCACTGATTTATGTTGAGACATTC